AATATTTATAAAGTGCTGGCAAGTGGCCAGCATATTAAATTCTTTGTAAATGTTGGCTCTTAGTTGGTATTAGTATAAAAACTAATTTGATTAATGATTTTCTTTATTCCATGATTAGACTCCAAGCAAAGGCTACCAAGAAGCCTTATGAAGTTGAAGCTGAGTTTAAGAAGTTTCTACATAAACTGGTAAGTTTGGGGTTTATTTTTATTTTTTAAGTATATTTTATTGATTTTGCTATTACAGTCATCTATTTTTTTCTCCCCTTTATCACCCTCTCCCTTCAGCACTCCCCTCCCTTAGTTCATGTCCACAGGTTGTACATACAAGTTCTTTGGCTTCTTTTCCTATGCTATTCTTAACCTCCCCCTGTCTGTTTTGTGCCTACCAAGTATGTTTCTTATTCCCTGTGCCTTTTCCCCCATTCTCCCCCTCCTCCCCGCCACTGATAACCCTCCATATGATCTCCATTTCTGTGATTCTGTTCCTCTTCTAGTTGTTTACTCAGTCATGTTTTTTAGGTTCAGTTGTTGATAGTTGTGAGTTTGTTGTCATTTTACTGTTCATAGTTTTGATATTCTCCTTTTTCTTAGATAAGTCCCTTTAACATTTCATAAAATAAGGGCTTGGTGACAATGAACTCCTTTAACTTGACCTTATCTGGGAAGCACTTATCTGCCCTTCCATTCTAAATGAAAGCTTTGCTGGATAGAGTCATCTTGGATGTAGGTCCTTGCCTTTCATGACTTTGAAGACTTCCTTCCAGCCCCTTCTTGCCTGTAAGGTCTCTTTTGGGAAATCTGCTGACAGTCTGATGGGAACTCCTTTGTAGGAAACTCTCTCCTTTTCTCTTCCTGCTTTTAAGATTCTCTCTTTATCTTTAATCTTGGGTACTGTAGTTATCATGTGTTTTCATGTGTGCTTCCTTGGGTCCAACTTCTTTGGGACTCTCTAACTTCCTGGACTTCCTGGCCAGTTTGGGGAAGTTCTCCATTATGTTTTCAAATAAGTTTGAAAGTTCAATTCTTGCTCTTCCTTTTCTCCTTCTGGCACCCCTATGATTCAGATGTTGGAATGTTTAAAGATGTCATTCCAGAGGTTCCTAAGCCTCTCATCATTTTTTTGGATTCTTATTTTTTCCTTCTGCTCCAAATTGTTGATTTGATTACCATTTTCTTTCCCATCATTGTTGGTTCCCTGTACATTTTCCTTTATTTCGCTTTTCATAACCTTCAGTTTTTCCTCTACTTTGCAACCATACTCTGCCATATCTGTGAGCATCCTGATTACCAGTGTTTTAAACTCTGCATTTGATAGGTTGGCTAGCTCTTCATTGCTTAGTTGTATTTTTTTTCTGGAGCTTTGATTTGTTCCTTCATTTGGGACTTTTTTAATTTTTTGGTCTCGGCATGCCTGTTACATAGTAAGGCTACAGCCTTAGGTTTTCACCAGGGCAGGGCAACCCACATCACTGCACTGTGACACTGCATGTGGGGAAGGGGTTAGAGAGGGAACAGTGCTGCTTGCTCATCTTTCATAGGCTGTCTGTCACTTCCTCCACTACCCACAAGCAAATTGGGCCTTTCTGGTGCTGATTCCCAAGTAGGTGGGCTTGTGTACATTCTAGGACCCTGTGGTTCTCTCCAGGGAACTCTCCTGTGAGGCTGGGAGTTTCTCCCGCTGCAACAACCCCCCTGGGTTATTTCAGTCAGAGGTTTGAGGCTTTATTTCCTTATACTGGAACCCTGGGTTGCATGGTCTGTTTCGCTCCCCATTTGTTCCTCCTGGTTTATCTGCTTGAAAATGTGGGAACGCCCAGTCCACCAGCCACCACCATGCCACAGGCATCCTCTATGCCTGGCTGCCCGACTCTGCCTGTCCTACTGGTCTGGATGAATGTTTCTTTAACTCTTTGGTTGTCAAACTTCCATACAGTTCTATTTTTTCAGTTCTGGTTGGGTTTTGTTTTTAAATTTTTTATTGTTGTCCTTCTTTCAGTTGTGCAAGGAGGCACAGTGCATTTATGTATACCTCAATCTTGGCCAGAAGTTCCCTGTTTTGTTTTGGTTTTTTTTTAAATAATTTTAAAGAGAATTTTCCCCCTAGATTCTCTTATATAGACTGAACAATATTTAATAAACATTATAGGGTTTCACATCTAAGCTATAGTGGCAAGATGAAATACATTTTTGTTATTTAATCATCCACATCCACATATAACATAATCTGTTTTATGTATTCATGGCAACCTCACGCCCTCTATCCCCATCCCTTGTTTCTGACTAAGAACAGTTTATACAACTCAAAACCTGCAAACGCAGTCAGACTTTCAAATTAACAGAAAATTAGTGGTGTTCAAAGTCCTATTTATATTTTCCATTGACAATTCCATGAAACTATATTGGATTCCAACCACTGTGTCAGATGCATTATGCCTGCCCTCGATTAATAGAAACAAAAGTCAGAAATGATAAGGTTCTGAACAGAGCTGAAGAGTGAGAAAGAAAGAAGAAGAAGGAGATTGCTCCATCTTTCCAATTTTCAGTGTCCTCTCCACTCCTGCTTATGGGCAGTCCCGTTCAAGCTAAAGGGCCTTCTTCTCTTCCAACAGGCAAGAATATGTAGAAATTAGTATATGGGGGGACCCCCCAAAACAGAATTACCTTCTGAATGGCAGGCCCCTTGTAGTACAGACTTGCCCTGCTATGTGAGTGTTCTAGCAACCCATCTGCATCAGTGTGCCAGCTGGTGTTATTGTGAGAGGCTGAGTTCAGTTCCACTGAAAGTTTTTTGAAGAATTTTGCAACATGTTTGCCCATTTCATGATGGGTGATTTACAGTGCACCTGCCCACACTGCACTGAGTGTTCAGCAGTTTTTGACCAAAACCAGCATGACCCCCATGTCCTACCCTCACTGTTCACCCTATCCTGAGCACTGAGTGACTTTTTCTATTGTTTTCCTGGATGAAAAACGTCTTCAAAGGGAAACATTTTGCTGATGTGGAAGAGGTGAAACAAAAAATGGCAGAAGTACTAAAAGGCATCAAAATTAACAAGTTCAAAAACTGTTTTGAGCAGTGGAAAAAACATCTCAATAGGTATATTGCATCAAACAGACAGTACTTTGAACATGCCTGAGGTTTAAACATGTAAGAACAAATACAAAATTTTTTATAAATAAATTCCAGTTTGTGGGAGATCCCCCTTCATGCAATAAATCTGAAGCTTAGACAATCTGATGTCAGGAGTAGGAGAGCCTTTTATTTTCAGCATGCTAGGCTTCCACTTAAAAATCTAGAGCAATCCTCAATGGCTATTGGTATAATGTCAAAACTAGGCATCAAATAATCTAATCAAACTCCGGTATGAGCCACAAAGGTATGATAGAAAGGAGTAAAACATCTGGGTTCTTAATATTAAATAAATAGGACTAGTCTTTACTTCCACAGACACTAATTAATTCTTTCTCCCATTTTTGTTGGTATCTCTTAGCTACTACCACTAGAGACATGAGAACAGAGAAATGTTTATTTAGCATAAAGGAACAAACAAGGGTGCAGGTATGCTGCTAAAGGGCAAGTTGACCTCAGCTAGTAAATGATACATGGCCTGTGTATCGGGGAGACGACAAGGAGTTGTGAAAACTCTAGCACACTGGACAGCCCCTGCCTCGTTAAACCTGGCAGCAACTTCCTCAGCTCTAGTTCACTGTGGCCCCATAGGAATGGAGGCCAAAGCATTATCAGGTCTTCCACCGCCAGTAATTCAGATGCATGCTCAAATTCCATCTTCTACATGAAGCTTTTTTCCAGTAGCCCTAGCCCCATTCTTTCCAGAAAGTTGGATATCTCTCATAGTTTCTAGAATAACACTTGGTGGTGCTTTGATGGAAAAGTAGTTCTCTTCTTCAAGCCAGATGTCAAGACAAACATCAAGCAAATCCATGGCTTAGAATGACTGTGTCCTGCAAAGCAGAGTATACAATGAAAATTTTTCCATACCTAATATAAGGAAGGAGTCACACTGTGAAAACTTAAATATAGTAGCTAAGCAATGGCAAGTGTTTTTTTTTTACTGTAATCCAGGTATCTTTAAAGAATTGCATACCAACCACAGATCTTTTGTGGAAAATGGAAAGGTATTAAATAATAAAAAGTTATCATTTTAAATCAATTCAGTTTTGGATTATTGAGTTTTAAAAACTCAAAATTCTTTCAAGAAATTTGACTTACGCTTCCCCAAGTGTTTACCATTCTGCTCAGAAGGAAATGCACCAGAAGTTCACTTTGGACCAGAATAGAAGGATTTCCCAGTACTCTGTACAACTGCTGTCCTGTGAGAACCATTACAACCAACTCTGCATCAGCCTCTACGAAACTGAGGTACAGGATGATGACATCCAGTCTCCGAGTTGCACATTAATGAGTGAAAACAATCACAGAATAATAGAAGACTGTCATAATATTCTGGATAATTCATGCCATAAGATCACGGCTGTCTCGGTTATCTGATTACAATTATCTGATAATTGTCTCGGTTATCCAAGATGCTTTCTGGTCTAAATCTCCATAGAATTGAGATGGCCCTCCTGTCTTCTATCCATGAAAAAGCAGTCATTCATTTACCATCACCACATAACCAAACATTTCTTCCCACTTTTGGTAAACACATACACATAGCCACCAACACCCTAACCAATCCCAGAACCAGCTCTAAGCCTTTTCCTGCTCTCACCCGCACCCCTGCACACTGGCCCTACACTGGTCCACATATGCAGATAAGCCTTGCTAGACACAATGAGGGGATGCAGGGTGGTGTGGGCCGGAGTGGTAGGACGGCATCCTCTTGGATTAGGGAGGCATTTGAGAAATGGTAGGATAGAGTAGGAAAAAAGTGAACTCCATGAACAAATTGAACAATCTCAATTATCATCCAGTTAATTCTCTATTTCAGTGTGAAGAGAGAGAAAGATTTTTAAAAATATTTTATTTATTTATCTTTAGCGGGGAAGGGAAGGAGAGAGGGAGAAAAATATCAATGTATGGTTGTTTCTCATGCATCCCCTGCTGGGAACTGGCCTGCAACCCAGGCATGTGCCCTGACTGGGAATCAAACTGCGATCCTCTGATTCACAGGCCTGCGCTCAATCCACTGAGCTATACCAGCCAGGGAGAGATAAAGATTTAAAGTGTCTTTTATCTAAGTTTCTCTGTTAAATGATAGAACTCAGGGACTGAAGAATTGAAAATGATTGCTTATATGGTATCACATGGTTAAAAAATTAAATGATTGGGGTTTTCTTTCTAAATCCACCTTTTGAAAAAAATTAAGCAATTCTCATCCCAGTAATTGGGGAATCTCACATTTAAGTATAAGATGTCTGGGAAAATCTGTGAATCCCTAATAATGTATTATTTTAATAGCGTTCTGAAGCTCAAGTTAAGAGAGAATTTCTGGCATCACCATCATCGGCATCAACAACAGAAGACCACCTTTGAGGAAGAACATTAAAGAGAAACCAGAAATAACCCGTATTTAAAGAATATTGTATACAATTCCATTGTATCAGTTTAATTGTAACAACGTGTTTAATTCTAGTCCAATCCATGAGGTCAGGATTTTCTTTTACAGTTCATCTTTTAAAAATCTTGAAGTGAATAAATCCCAATAAGTCATCCTGAAGGGATCTGCCCAGCCATAATTTTGGCTCTTATTGATAGAAAACATATTTTAAGATGGAAAAATAATCATTATGAAACATAGAGAGCTTTCAACCATTTCTTTGGAAACACATCTTGATAATAGCAACCGTTCATCGTAATACAAAACAGAAAGGATTAATTTACTGCGGCATAAGAAGTCCTGCCAGCTCCTAAATGCCCTAAATAGTTTCTCTAAGATTTTTTACATTGTTTAGGCCTCAAGGAAAACCAAAGCTCCGCCTCCAGGTTTGGTAGCAAACAACCTCTGATTCTCCGGCACTAGGCTCCGGTCACTCCTCTGGTAATAAGCTTCACGCACGTTTGCTAGGAAGCTGGGCAGCTTGTCAGTAGGTACCAGTGAGACTGTGCAGCCTCCCCATCCTGCTCCAGTGAGGCGTGACCCTTGAGCCCCAAATGTCCTAAAACAATAAGAAGAGAAAAATTAGACCCTGTGGATGAAAATGAGAGTGATTTGGCTGATGCCTGTAGGACAGTCCACCAATGTCCTAATGAGGGAATATGTGTGTTTTCTTTTGTGGGTTTTTCTCCAGTGTTGTTGAGCATTTTAGTAAATTAGAAAATTTGTACTTTTACAAAAGGTGATTTAAAATTTAATTGTATCTTAAACTACCCTCTGGTTTTGGCTCTAAATAGTAAGTAGTCGGTATAGAGCTTTTCGAGTGGTGATTTTATGGAATCTTCCCTACTTCATCTAGAGCTGGTCTGACACCTGGACTCAGAATTTACCCTCAGATGAAATGCATGATTGGAATGGAAACTACTATGTGAAACAGCACGTAGCAAGATGTCATGGCAGTCAAGAGGTCAGACAGTTTCAAACCTAAGATTTATAGCAGTGAAAGGCCCTACACAAAGTTCAAGGATCTTTACAGGACACAATATATCTGACAATAAAAGTTACATGTACTTCCAATTCTTCCTGATAAAATTTACTCCAAATTCACAGCAGATTAAAAACTCCATACGTAATTTAGCATAATTTTGTCCCTTTTTTTTCATCTAAATGAGCTACTTTACTTCCTGGAAAATATTAGTAGAATATTACCCGTAATCTAGAACATCAGAATTATTGCACACCAGTAATTCATTTCCCCTTAATGATGTTGTCAATTGATTTTTTCATCATCTGTTTTCTTCATTAAAATATTATTTTCAAATGAAAATAGACGTCTAAGGAAGAAAACGAAAGTGCATACAAATCAATAAAAAATAACTCATCTCCTCCCGTCCCTCAACCACTCACTCAGCTTATGGCCCAACAGCTGAACTGAGCCCAGACTCCTGAAAAGTTTCTCTGCCCCTGGGATTCTCAGATTATTCTGAGTTCTTAGGCTGGCAAAGGGCCGGTTTGCAATTTGATGATTTAGGAATTAAAAAAAACAAACTTGTCAGTCACATCAGACCCTCTCCGTGTGGAGAATGCTGAGAAGAGCAGAGGTGCCAGTGAAGCATCTCTGGAAGACACGGCATCATCTGGAGAAGAACACTGTGCCCTCTCTTCCTTAGTTTTCTAAGACTCAAACTATGCCATCTTGCTGGACTCAAGATGACCAGATCTTTTATGATCTTCAGTGGACTTCTAGGCATATTTTCTTACAGTTTCTCATTTGAACAGTTTTTGAAAGCTGTGGTTTCAAAATTGAACCTAAAGCAAGCTGAGCATTGTTTGCTCTAACTCACTGCAAACCCCAGAGGAATTGTGCCAAGAGGGGCCATCTTCCTGATATCCCACCAGTTTCCAGAGAGCAGAAGTTAGAAGACTTCCTAAGTGAACGCACTCACTTCTGAGTCTCCCGAGCTGCTCTGTCAGCACCCTGCCTGCTGTAGATGAAAACGGACTAAATTGTATCAACCACATGGTCTAAAACCATCAAGGCTCAAGTTTCACAAACAGAGAATGATAAGTGCTATTATAAATAGCCTCTGCCCTGAGTCTAAGGCACTTATGATCACAAATCAGGGTCTGTCCCCGCAGCTGGTCAGCATTCTGCCCAGCTAGCCACACTCCCTGGTCCTGCCTACAGTGTTCCCCACGGATGCTTAATATGGCCTTTGGCAGATGCCACAGAAATTCCGAGAGAGATCCAAAAGCTAGGAGACCAATATAAACTTCAAGTTAAGAAAAGAAAGCAAGTAAGCCAAGGGCGTTCAGTGAATTTTCACGTTTGCATTTTTTCCCCCTGGGAGAACAGTAAGAAATTAAAAATATAAGTCCTGAGAGGCGATCATCAGAGAGGCAATACAAGGGTTATGAAAGCCAAAACCCTAACATTTTCTAAATGGCACTTTGATGATTGTGGTGACTTGATAGAGAATAGTGTGGAAGAACTGGTCAAAACACTGAAAGCAGCCTCTGCCTTGAAAAGCGTGATCTACAAAACAAAGGCTAGGGAAGGTGACAGGCAGAGATTCTAAATAATGTTCCCCGTGATCCTTTTATCACTGAAAAGTATATTCTTATGACTTTACACCTTTATGGGCACCTGATAAAGCCCATAAAATTTCCCATTTTTAAATGAACAGACTTGACCATAAAACACTTACTAGGGAAGGTACGACACACAGGGCAATGGTGGGGTGAGAGAGGGAGATCCAATGAGACCCAACTTTGCTACACACTACAAAGACGGAAAGCAAGAAATTTTGCCTTGCATGTATTTCAATTCAATTTCATTTCAATAAAAGCAAATATTTTTATATTATACACATAGCTATAAATTATTTCAGAAAATCTTAACTCTAGTGACAGCTTATATCTATTTCAATCCGGCATAATTCCAGGCATAATTCCAGTGCTAAAAAATAGCACTGGATTGTGATATTGTTTTAAAATATCAAAATACATACTCAGGCTTTTTAAGAAAACCTCAATCATGTGTGAAGTGTCAGAATAAAGGAAAAAGGTGATACTTGCACAGTTATAAAATATTTTTGAAAAGAACAAAATGTAAATTTTAAAGTAGAATTTACTGAATAACATAAAACAATTTTGAAACCAAGTGAATTACTATATTTTGCCATGTATAATGTACACCCATGTTTCTGACCCAGACTTTCAGGAAAAAAAAAACTTTCATTGTAATTTTTTTATTCAGTTGTTTATTTATATTTAGGAACAAAACCAATTATCATGTTCCCAGGTATTATTTTCCATACAGATATCATTATGGTTTCTAGAGTTACACTTTTGCCACATAAGCATAAATTAAAAAATTAAAAACATTAATAGATACAGAATTCGCACTATCCTGTATAACGTGATCCTTATCCTACCCTCAAGAATTTGGGCAAAAAAGGAAGTTTGGGACAAGGTGGTGGCATAGGTAGATACTTTGCCTCCTTGTACAACCAAAAGAAGGACGACAACAAATTTAAAAACAAAAAAACAACCAGCACTGCCATAAAATTGAACTGCATGGAAATCGGACAACCAACAAGTTAAAGAAACATTCATCCAAACTGGTAGGAGGGGCGGAGACAGGTGGCCAGGCAGAGAGGATACACAGCAAGGCTGCCACTAGCAGGCAGGGCAGTCCCACATTTTCATGCGGAAAAATCAGGAGGAACAACTGGGGAGTGGGACAGACCACACAACCCAGGGTTCCAGTATGGGGAAATAAAACCTCAAAACTTCTGGCTGAAAAAAACTGTAGGGGTTGTGGTGGCAGGAGAAACTTCCAGTCCCACAGGAGAGTCCATTGGAGGAGCCCACAGGATCCGAGAACATACACAAACCCATCCACCCAGGAATCAGCACCACAAGAGCCCAATTCACTTGTGGGTAGCAGAGAAAGTGACTGAAAGTAGGGCAAAAGCCAAGCAAGCGGCATTGTGCCCTCTCTGACCCCTCCCCCACATACAGTGCCACAACACAGCAAAGCAGGTTGCCCCACCCTGGTGAATACCTAAGGCTCTGCCCCTTACAATGTAACAGGTGTGCCAAGGTAAGGAAATATGACCCAAATGAAAGCACTGATCAAAACTGTAGAAAAAGAACTAATCAATGAGAATATAGCTAACCTATTAGATGTAGAATTCAAAACACTGGTCATCAGCATGCTCACAGAAATGGTTGAGTGTAGCAGCAACATAAATGAAGAAGTGAATTCACTGTACAAAGTGAAATAAAGAAAAATAAACAGAGAACCAGCAGTGAAGGGAATGAAACCAGGACTCAAACCAACAATTTGGAACAGAAGGAAGAAATAAACAACCAGAACAGAATGAAGAAACGAGAATTCAAAAAAAATGAGGAGAGGCTTAGGAACCTCTGGGACAACTTTAAACGTTCCAACATCTAAATTATAGGGATGCCAAAATGAGAAGAATAAGAGCAAGAAATTGAAAACTCATTTGAAAAAATAATGAAGGAAAACTTCCCCAATCTGGTGAAGGAAATAGACATACAAGTCCAGGAAGTTCATAGGATCCCAAAGAAATTGAACCCAAGGCACATTATAATTAAGTTACCCAAGATTAAAAATAAAGAGAGAATCTTAACAGCAGGGAGAAAAGGAGAGAGTCATTTACAAAGGAGTTCCCATTAGACTATCAACTGATTTCCCAAAAGAAACCTTACAGGCAAGAAGGGAAAGAAGTATACCAAGTCATGAAAGGCAAGGACGTACATCCAAGATTACTCTATCCAGCAGAGCTATTATTTAGAATGAAAGGGCAGATAAAGTGTTTCCCAGATAAGGTCAAATTAAAGAAGTTCATCATCACCAAGCCCTTATTATATGAAATGTTAAAGGGACTATCTAAGAAAAAGAAGAAGACCAAAAATGTGAACAGTAAAATGAAAAGAAACTCACAACTATCAACTACTGAATCTAAAAAACAAAAACAAAAACAAATTAAGCAAACAACTAGAAGAGGAACAGAATCACAGAAATGGAGATCACATGGAGGGTTATCAGTGGGGAGTGGGGGAGAATTGGGGAAAAGGTACAGGGAATAAGAAGCGTAAGTGGTAGGTACATAATAGGTGGAGGTTGAGACTAGCATAGGAAAAGGAGAAGCCAAAAAACATATATATACGGCCATGGACATGAACTCAGGGGCAGAATGCTGGAAAAAGGGTGGGTGCAGGGTGGAGGGGGATAAAGGGGAGAAAAAAATGGCACAACTGTAATAGCATAATCAATAAAATATACTTAAAACAAGAAACAAAAAACAAAAAACTTTGGCAAAAACAGTACACATTATACATGGCAAAATACTGTATGTGTGAAACAGCATATACATATCAATATAATATAATAGAAATATAAGCAGTCAATAAGATATTTTTTGCTTTATTTATTTATTTTTAGAGAGAAGAGAAGGGAGGGAGAAAGAGAGGGAGAGAAACATCAATGTGTAGTTGCCTCTTGCGCACACCCTACAGAGGACCTGGCCCGCAACCCAGGCATGTGCCCTGACTGGGAATTGAACCAGTGACCCTTTGGCTCACAGTCCAGCACTCAATCCACTGAGCCACACCAGCCATGGCCAGTAAGATATTCTTTACCTGGACAGACTTACAGTTTCTGCTCTGAAGCCTAAAATACTCTGACTAGAATCTCAGAAAATAGACCTTCCAGACCAATTTCTATTATTTTTACAGCCAGGTTAGAAATACTTTCAGATTGCCTAAGATTCAAGGAACTACAGAGTTCCAATACTGTTCAAATGAAAAAGTGTAAGAAAATATGACTACAAGTCTGTTTTAGAAACCTAAGCCACTAAAGGGCATTGAAGACCAGTTGGTGTGGTTCTAGCATGTCCTACATGGGTCTGTCCAGAAAAAGTCAAGCCATTGTTAATAGAACAAGAATGGTTTGCATGACATTGATGTGACCTGGTAGCCAAGGAAAGTGGACTGGAATGCACATACATGAACAATGACAAGTTCATTGTACTAGTCAGTGGGGGTGGCAGACACTATTGAGTGAGCATGTACACTGTGTGGTCATCACATTCAAAATGACTGAGTGAGTAGAGCAATGAGCCTGCATCAAATTTTGTGTTAAGCTTGAACATTCCTCTGCAGAAACTATTCAGATGATTCAGAAGGCTGCAGCTATGGGCAACTGGTGATTGGCAGCTTCATCATGACAACATGCCTGCTCATGCATCATGTCTTTTGACAAAACATCAGATCACCCAGGTGACTCAGTCCCCTACATCCCAGATTTGGCACCCTGCAACTTCTGGCCTTTCCCAAAACTAAAATCACCTTTGAAAGGGAAGAGATTTCAGACCGTTAAAGAGATTTGGGGAAAGTACACTGGGGTGGCTGATGGCAACTGGGAGAACTGTGTGAGGTCCCAAGGTGTCTACTTTGAGGGAACTGAGTTGTCATTGTCCTATGTACAATGTTTCTTGTGTCTTGCATTTTCTTCAGTAAATGTCTATTTTTAATGTGGCATGGCTGGACACCTTCTGGACAGACCATATGTATATATATTTGGCAGGTCAGGGGACAGTAAGTGGAAGACAGCAACCCAAATAGAAGTGAGCCCCAAGGGCAGCTGGAATGGCTCTTTCCCTCTTCCTTGGCAGCGTGTGCAGACCACCACCTCCAGTGGTGGAACTCAAGCATGGTAATGCGTGTGTGCACTGTGTTCGGAACCGGTCAGGGGAATGGGTGTGAGAGGCTGAGCAGCACGGCCGTGGGATAAAGTTGTGGAAAAACTCCTGAGGGAGATGGGAAATTTACTTTTCTAACCTTTGTTGGTCTATTAACGGCTTGGGCAATGATGCATCCCTGAGACCTCTCTTATTTCAACAAGTGTCAAAGGGGAACTAAAAGCCTTAACTATTTTTTCTTAAGTACAACCAGGGAAACCAGTAACAAATGAGCTGTCTCACATGCAATTGAGTTGGTTTCAAAACTTTTTTGTGTTCTTCAGTAAATCTTACTTTAAAATTTAGCCATTTCTTAAAATGTACATCTTCATTAAAAAGAGTTATAACTGGGCAAGCTTCATCTTTTTCCCTCATTATTATACTTTGTTTCACATAATTGAGGGTTTTCTAACATTAATCTAATTAAAAAGTTAGTGAACAGCCTCACTGCAGGAGTGTAGCTCCCTTCTCCCTCCCTGGCCCTTTCTTTGGGTCCTCTGCCAATTTTCTCTTGGGGAGCAGACACAACCTTTGTAGAAAAACAGCGAGTACTGCTGACCTCTACCTTTTCTTCCTCTCTCCCCTTGAGTAAGAAAGCAGCTCCTGTAAGTTCCTGTAGGCTAACTACCTAGAGATGTTTTCCTGACATGCAGCCTGGCCATATCGCTTTAAGATTTTAGCTTGTAGTAGGCCCTGAGTATTGTAGGCATAGGAATCCTTCATTCACTTCATCAATTAGTTGTCTTTTCATGCAAATAGTTTCCAAGTAAGCCTTCAGGAAAACTAAAGGAATTTTAAAGTGCCACGGTGGACCAGGGAGGGAAATCTCAAGATTATCTTTGGCAATGCTCCCAAACCCATTTCGGCCCCCTCTTCCGCTGACTGATTATGTTAACTTGCTCAAAACACTTAACGTCTCAATGCCTCCTCCATCTCCTGCTGTCATATCGGACAGAACTCTCAGATAATTCTGACCCAGAAACGAGAAGTCTGACTTCCAAAAATGTGGCTTTTACGGAAACAGGAAAATTTTCTCAGGCCAAAACCCAAAAGTCATCTTGACTCCTCTCCCTCGCCCACACGGCAACTGTCCTGAATCTTCCTTCAGGGCCTTCTGCACAGGACCAGTGAGCACTTCCGTTTCCCAGCCTTCTCCACTCGAAGCCAGAGACCCGCCAACGGCCCAGCAGGCCCCTGTGGTACAGCTCCTACCACCCTCTTACTTGATCTCCTACTACCCTCCCCTGCCTATACTGCCCTCCAGCCACACTGCTCTTCTTTCTGTTCCTCACGTGTGATAGCCGCATACCCACTTGAGGACCTGTCTCCATGCTGTGCTATTTCTTTACTTCCTTCAGGTGTCTGTTCAAATATCTCATCAAAGAAGCCTCCTTCAGCCACTCCATATAAAGATTTCCCACTCAATCCTGGTACTCTGTATCCCTTCTCCTTCTATTTTTTCGTAACGCTTATCACTACCACTTCACTTATTAATCGTCATTTCCCTCTTTCCCTGTCAAAGTCATAGCTGGTGCACCACCCCAGGAAGAAAAAGACCATCAGCGAATTGCAGGAAGCTAGTGAATGCCCTTCCACTGCTTTTCAGGTGGGACTCCAACCACCTTGCTACCTTCCAGGCAAAGATGCTTCTTCCTGATTTTCATGAATCATTCCACTTCCTCTTCTGTCCAGAACTGAACAATATTTGTTGCCCTCCATTTACCGGGCCCTTGATATTTTCTAAAAAAGAGCACTGACAATGAAACAATTCTGGAAGGCTTTATGGTCATTAGTGACAAACACTGACGACAACAGAGTTATTGTATCAATGCTGTATTCAAATCTCTTGACAAATTGGATTACACACGCCATTTGTGATGATTGGAGCTACTTGGTCTAAACTTTTCAGGCTGGGAGTGTGGCAATGCCATAGGCGCCAAGTGGTAAATTATATTTTCATTACTAATTACAGACAGTTCTTCTCAGACTCATGTATGTATAATCTTCTCACAGTGGAAAGAACATCTAGCCATTTGAGAGTTTGCCCAATTTCCCTTCCGGTTCTCCCAAGGTCGCTGAGGTCCCTCCTGGGTATAGGGACCACTCTGCTCTCTGAAGCCCACCCACTAGCAGTCACAAGGGAACCATTCTCGGGCTTCGAGAAACTTCCCCTCTCCACATTTCTGTCCTAACCAAGCTTTTATAAACTGGGCTTTCTTCCGTCCTTATTTCCCCATATTGCCTAACAAACTGGGAAGGTAGGAAATGCTGGCTCTCTGGATTAATTCCTCCAGCCACCTCCCCCTGCCGCCACTACACTCCTTCAAGTCTGAGGCTCTCTTTCCGTCTTCTCCTTTCTTTTGTATAAAACGACTAAACTTAGAACACCAAACAGCAGATGCTGGCAGAGCCACAGTGTGGTGGACAGCGTTGGTTACAACGTCAGGAGAAAGTGAAAACAGGCCCACGTCTGAGAAACACTCCCCAAACTGCCTCATCATCCAATAATGGCAAAGTCTTACGATGTGAAGAACCGACTCCACAGCTGGAGCCTCACACAGACATTTAGGAAGGAACGAGTTCAGCTCTGTAGCACAGATGACAACTCCTGCGGGGAGTGGGCAAGGATCTTCTTTCACTTAGAAGGTGGTGAAAATGCCCCATTTTTTCACTCATTTGGACAATTGCAGCAGCAGCACTCCCCAGCCCCACCGTGCCGCTATCTCAGCCTCACCGACAGATGTCTACCAGCTGGTCCAGCTCCGGGCAGCTGCACTCATACAGGTCCCGGCAGCTCACGTGGCTCTGGTTCATGAGCTCCCCCAGCAGCTCCACTGTGTTGTCGGGTGCTTCTTCACAGACCTTCTTAAACTGCAGCACTCGCGCTGCCTCGCTGAACACGTGCTTTGCCCGCTGGTACAGTTTGAAGATGAGCACTTAGGAAGAACAGGGATGGGAACAAGATTAGAAATAGTAACTGCACAGTCCAGTGCAAAGAAAAATAGTTAATAAGGACTTCCAATTCTGTCTTCATTATTAATACCTTAGACTTTCAATGGGTCTGTCTTTCACTGAAAGAATTCTTTATGGTCTAAATTTGTCTCTGTTTAAGTGCAGCTCTAACACTGTTTGATTCTGTGAGGAACTCCTCCAAGGCTTCCCCCCACATTGTTATGTCTCGTAAAGAGGATGCTAACGGTGACTGTTACCTTCTGTTTGCAACCCCAGTTCTACTGCCTGCCCGTCCCCATCCTAATATCTGCCCCAGGGGGCTGATCTTTATGAAGTACACCAATGGGTTCCCTTACCCTCTAGACTGGAGAAAGGAAGCAGAATCAGCAAGAGCCACCTAGAGAAAGCTCTGTGCCTTTGCTGAGGGGGGCCTTTCACGGCAGCCTTTTTACGTGACTCTCTCCTCCAGCCTCTGACTCCAGGTTCCTCTCCCCTAGACTATTACTGCTTTTTCAGAAGCACTTTTACATCCACTTACAAACCAACAGATTCTATTAAAAGTCCCAGGCCACATTTTTCCCTTCCGAGTTTCTCAATTGAGTCATATTAGATATATTATAACTTACAACTGACAGTTCGCATCAATGAAATGACACAAATTCGTGTGAATTTTCCAATTCTCTTTCAAAGAGGATATAAATTCTGTCACCAGATCTAATTGTTTTTTTTTACAGTGTGTTTTCCAATCATCCTTCCCTTCTGTTCCCATTGCCATTACCCAAATTTACACTTTTTTAATAAGATTTTATTTATTTAGTTTTAGAGGGAGGGGAAGGGATGGAGAAAGAGAGGGAAAGAAACATCAGTTGCTTGCCTCTCGCACGCCCCCTACTGGGGACCTGACCAAAACCCAGGCATGTGCCCTGACTGGGAATCAAACTAAGGACCCTTTGGTTCACAGGTCAACACTCAATCCACTGAGCCATACCAGCCAGGGCCAAATTTACACTTTTATTCCCTTTCCCACATAAACTCCCACATGCAGTGATTTCCTAATTGATATTCCTGTCAATCTCTTCTCCTCGCAACCTCACTTGAGGTCAACACTGTCAAACTGAGCTACTAACATACATCCTCACTCATGTCCCTGCCCCGAACTTTTACTGCTTTTCCATCTGTACCATAATCCAAATTCCTGCGCTCAGCATGCTCATTCCCAATAGGAAGTCTTTCCTTCAGCCAAACTCACCTACACAGTTACCCAAACACTCCTTGCTTCTGAGTACGCTTATTAGTCCATAAAAAAATTGTTTCTGGTCCTTTCTCTCCAGAAAGAAAAATTGTTTCTGTCAAAATTTTAACTCTTTCTGAAAGTTCAGTTTAAATTTTATTTGCCCCATGAAGTGATGATGGACCCGAATGGTAACAATCAGTTGCAGGCCATGGCACTCACTGGGTGCTTATCATATACTCCCCACAGTAATTGTTTCTCCCATTTCTGCCAAGTTCACCACATGCTGGTGACAGAAACCTGGTCTTCTGGGACCGTGCATTCCACCACTACAACCTTCGGCCCCACAGCGCCTTCCACAGCAGGACTCCGATGGGCTTCTACTGGTGATGAGGATATAATTGGGACTTGATTTTTAGCCACAGTTTAAAATTAAGACAGTTCCATATAGTCATTGTTTTTTTTTTAATAAGGGTCAGTAATCAACATCTTATTAGTGCTAAGGAAAGGGGACAGCAAGACGCCCTTTGGTATTGAATCTGCAAATGCTGACATTATGTATGGAGGAAAAATAGCAAAAAAAGAGAACTTACACCCTGCCTGGTATGTCTCAGTGGACTGAGCACAGGCCTGTGAATCAAAGTGTCACTGGTTCTATTCCCAGTCAGGGCACACATATGGGTTGCTGGCCAGGTCCCCAGTGGGGGGGGGGGTGGCACATGAGAGGCAACCATACATGAATATTTCTCTCCCTCCTTTCTCCTCTGTCTAAAAAAATTTTTTTAATCTAAAAACAAAGAGTTGTTTAAAACAGAAAGAAAACTTGCAAGTTCAATGTAGCTGAGAATAAAAACACAACAACATGTTTTGTTCCTCAGTAAACAGGTCATGTGAATCAACCCACACGGCAGTGTGAATTTATCTCCATCAATAAGTTCAATGGAAATGGGAATATTTAAGATCTGGATATCAAAATATCCCAAGGTAAAAAAGTCTTACTAATACCCAATACTGGCCTATACCATTATCTCAAGAAAAAGCACAGGTATATTTAACAGTAATTCCTCAAAATCTCTGAACATAGAAAGAAAAAGAGGAGACAATGACTGGCATGTAGATGCCTCACACAGCACCAATAATTTTATACATGTTAATATAATCCAGGTTGTAAGATATACATTTTAAAAGGAAGGAAAATAACTTACATGATTATAAGATTTTTTTCATTTCAAATGAAATTAAGACAGACTCACAGACACAGAGTGGACTGGTGGTTGCCAGAGGGGAGGGAATTGGGGGCCTGCGTGAAAGAGGCGAATGGACTGAGACGTACAGATCAGTATTACAAAGTAGTCCCAGGGATGTGAAGTACAGCAGAAGGAAAATGGTCAATAGCATTGTGATAACTGTGTGTGGTGCCACCTGGGTACTGGAAATACCATGGAGAATCACTTTGTAAAGTTCTGTATTTTTCAGATTATAAGACATGCCCCCCCCCAATTTGGGAAAAATAATGGTTGTTAATGCTGCTGTTGAGTTCTGTTTATATTTACATTGGAGAAATATTATGTTATTTATGTTATTAAATATTTTACCACATTTTTTTCCTTCAACTATTTTTTTTCTATTTTCCTCCTCTAAAACCTAGGTGTGTCTTATAGCCCGAAAAAAAATACGGTTGTGATTGTCTGGCCAGTATGCTGTACACCTGAAACCAGTACAAAGTAATATTAAAAGTTTAAAAGAAGATTGTTCTTTTAAATTGAGGATTAAAATACTGGTTGTATTCACTGCAGCGATGTTTACAATGGCCATCACATGGAAGCAGCCGAAGTGTTCATCACCAGATGAACAGATACAGAAGAAGCTGGTGTGTGTGTGTGTGCACACACATGTGCACTGGAACATTACTCAGCCATAAAAAAAAATGGAATCTTGCCATTTGCAACAAAATGGATAGACCTAGAGGACATAATGCTAAGTGAAATAAGTCACAGAAAGACAAGTACTGTACCATTTCACTCATATGTGGACTCTAAAAACCTAAACAAACGAACTAACAAACTCATAGACACAGAGAAACTGATAGTTGCCAGAGGGTTGGGCAGGAGGATGGGGCGATGCGTAAAAACGTGACGGGCATTAAGAGTTACAAATTCATAAATAAGTCATGGGGGCATAAAGTACACTATACGGAATACAGTCAGTCATATCACAGTAACTTTGTAGGGACAGATCAGTACTGGACTTTTCATGGTGATCACTTTGTAAAATGAGTAAATGTCAAGTCTCACCAAGTGCTACACCTGAAACTAATATAATATTGTGAGTCGGCTGTAATTAAGAAGAGCTCATCGTTCCAGAGTGAAGAAAACATACTAGCTTTGGGTTCCACCTGTTTCGCTTTCACTGTTGAACTACTTCACATCCTGTAACCATAGGCCAAGTTACACATCCGAGCGTGGGGGTGGGGGCGGGGGTGGGTCTAAGGGGAAATTAATGGTTGATTTTTATTGTAATGTCCCATTAATGAAGAAATAATCCTGTTTCCAGGTCCATTGCCACATACAACCTCAGCACAAAAGCAACACCCCATGACCCTAAAAAAGTGCTATTTAGCTGACGAATCACTGCACCACAGTCTGACTTGAAAAAATTTTATTTAAAACTTTGAATTATAAAAATTTTCAAATATACAGGATGGTAGGGAAAATATTATAGTAAACCCCAAGAGACTATGACCTAAACTGACCAATTAACACTTTGCCATGTTTGCTTCAATTGATATTTTGCTCAAGCGTTTTAAAATAAATTATACATGTGACAGTTCCTCCCTATATATTTGAGTGTGCATGTCTACAAAATAAGGATACTTTCTTACATAGCCTTCTATCATTATCACATCTAACAAAACTACAAGTTATTCCTTAATATCATCTCATATTCAGTTCATATTTAAATTTCCCAGTTGCCATTTAAATATCAGTTGATTTACACCATGATCCGAACAAAGTCTACACATTATATTCCCTCACGTCTAGTCAGCCTCTTTTAATCAAGAGTTTTGATTCTCCAGATTTTTCATAGTCATATACTATAAGAACATTTTAGGGCCATATCCTATAATAAAAATCAACATAGCCCATTAGGGAGAGTATGCTTTGCCTTGCTTTGGTTTTCCTTTAGGATTACATAGCCCTTTAGAATTAAGTATTTTCCCTTAGGATTAAATATTCTAAAGTAGAAAATGTCCAGATTTTTTTTACATTAAACCTTAGGAGTGGCGTCTCAATATGCAACAAGAAATGTTCAGAATGCACCAAGCAGATTCTCAGAACCTCACAAATCTGGCACCTTCTGTGGCTGTTCTCGATCACAGGGGGTTTCACAGCAAGACTTCTGAACCACAATGTCTAATGAGGACCCTTGCTGGGTGTTCTCAAGGTGCATGAGAGAGCGCCATGGCTCACGCCCTGAACAGTAGTCACTCAGACAAGGGAAAGGGCAAGAAGGGCATCTGTTTCCAATTGCGATATAACACCTTGCTAAGGACTAGAGCGGATTTGGAGACCACCTGTCGGAGGAAAGCAGGGCTGCGCTGGCTGCACGTCACAAATGCCCTCTGGACCCAGGGTCTGGCTCCTGATGTGCTGGCAACGCATCAGGTCTCTGTCGTGCAGATATAAAAAACCCAAGACAGTCTGAAGATGTCCATAACAGCCTTCTTCCCTAGCCCATTAACTTTAAAACATA